TTCTATATTTTCATCTAATTATATATTACAGTTTGTTTTCTTTTGTTTTAATAAGAAGGAACTTTTCTGTGAGGAATATTACCTAAAAGAAAGGTTTGGGCTCTGTAAAGTGTTACTTAAATTAAGAAACAGCAGAAAAAAAAGAAAAAAAGTAAAAGCCAGAATCAATCCACTGTGTGGAGCTGATTCGAATGCATAGAACTATATTGGTGTTGTTGTTGTTAAGTGCCGTCGAGTCGGTTCCGCCCCATAGTGACCCTGTACAGGGTTTCCGAGGGTGTAAATCTTTACGGGAGTAGAAAGCCTCATCTTTCTCCCACGGAGCAGCTGGTAGTTTTGAACCACTGACCTTAAGGTTCGCAGCCTGATTCGTAACCACTACGCTACCAGAGCTCCAACTGTATTAGATCATATATAATCACAGAAAGTGGAACTGCTCCACGGGATTTCTTGATTGTCATTTTATGGAAGTACATTACTAGGTCTTCTTCCTGCTGGTTAGGTTTGAATCTCTTCCTTTTGGTTGGTAGATGAGTGTAAGCTAGTTGTGCCGCCCAGCCCCCTTCTAGATTAAATAGATTTCTTTAATCATGCCAACATTCAACGGGAGTAGAAATTTATGTCAGGACATTCAACTGGGGCTACTTCAAATGATATATACATGTACACACACACTTTTCACCTACTGGTTCCCAGAGATAAGTGTCCTTCATTCTACCCTTCCACTCTCATCATCACGGTCCTGATCAATATCACACACCTGTGACACTGTGGGTTAATGCGCCAGACTGCAAAGCCGTTTGAATTGCAATGTCAGCGGTTCAAGCTCACCAGCTGCTCCTCGGAAACCCTACACAGGGTCGCTATGGGTTGGAATTGACTTGGCAGTACTTAACAACAACACACACGTAGCACTTTACAGTTTCAATCTTTTCATGTTATCATTTCATTTTATTCCCCCAACCACTCTGATTAGACAGGGGGAAAAAAAGTCCACGGTCATAGAGCCAATTCTGCCAGCGTAGAATTGCTCTACTGAATTTCCAAGTGGATAAATCTCTATAGAAGCAGACTGTCTGACACATCTTTCTCCCACAGAGTAACTGGTGGGTTTGAACCACTGACTTTGTAGCCAGCAGCCCAATGCTAACCCATAGTGCCACCAGCACTCCTTTAACAGAGCAGATGGGTACACCTAATTTTATGGATAATAAATATTCAATCATTTCAAGAGGTAGCATATGATCAAAACCAATGATCCTGAATGAAGAAGTCCAAGGTGCACTGAAGGCACTGGCAAAGTACAAGGCAATGGAAGTTGATGGACTACAAATCGAAACATTTCAACAAAGTGATGCAGCATTCAAGGCACTCACTCATCTATGCCAAGAAATCTGGAAGACAAAGACAACTGACTGGAAGAGATCTGCATTTGTGTCCATTCCAAAGAGAGGTGACCCAATGGAATGCGGAAATCATCGGACAATATCATTGATATTCCACGTGAGTAAAGTTTAACTAAACGTAATACAGAAATGGCTGCAAGCATACATTGACAGAGAACTTCCAGAGGCTCATGCCGGGTTCAGAAGAGGGCATGGAATGAGGGATATCATTGCTGATGTCAGACAAATCTTGTCTGAAATCAGAGAATACCAGAAAGATGTTTACTTGTGCTTTACTGACAATGTAAAGTCTTTTGTTGTGTGTATCATCATGACAGGCTATGGATAGACAACATTACGAAGTAAGAGTATTCTGGAATACTTAATTGTGTTCATAAGGAACCTGTACATAGACCAAGAGGCAGTTGTTACAACAGAACAAGGGACCACTGAATGGTTTAAAATTAGGAAAAGGAATGTGCCAGGGTTGTATTCTTTCACCATACTTATTTGATCTATATGCTGAAAAAGTAATAAGAAAAGCTGGATTATATGAAGAAAAATGTGGCATCAAGATTGGAGGAAGGCTTATCAACAACCTGCAATATGTAGATGATACAACATTGTTTGCTGAGGACGTAAAATTGCTTATTGATGAAGATCAAAGGCTACAGCCTTTGGTATGGGTTGCACCTCAATGTAAAGAAAACAAAAATCCTCACCAGTAAACCAATAAATAACATCCATATAAATGGAGAAAAGATTTAAGTTGTCATTTACTTCATTTTTCTTGGATCAACCATCAACACTCATGGAAGTAGCAGTCAAGAACTCAAACGTCGTTTTACATTAGGCAAATCTGCTGCCCAAGACCTTTTTAAAGTGCTGAAGAGCAAAAATGTCACCTTGAGGCCTAAGGTGCGCCTGACCCAAGCCATGGTATTTTCAATAACCTCATATCATGTGAAAGCTGGACAGGGAGTAAGGAAGACTGGAGAAGAATTGATGCATTTGAGTTATGGTGTTGGAGGAGAATAGTGAAAGTAGCATGGACTGCCAAAAGAACCAACAGATCTGTGTTGGAAAAAGTACAGCCAGAGAGTTCCTTGGAAAAAAGAATGGCCAGACTTTGTCTTTCATACTTTGGACATATTATCAGGAGGGACCAGTCACTGGAAAAGGATATCATGTTTGGTAAAGTGGAGGGTCAGAGAAAAAGAGGAAGACTCCCAACGAGATGGATTGGCACAGTGGCAGCATCAATGGGCTCCAACATAGCAACGATTGTGAGGTTGCCCAGGATTGGGCAGTGTTTCATTTTGTTGTGCTATGAATCGGTATCGACTTGATGATACTACTAACAACAACAACAGCAACAACAAACTGAGGATCAGGGAGGTGAACCAGTTTGTTTCAAATATTGGGTAAGCTACACAGTTTCTCTTTTCACGCAACACACTTTTCTGCAATTGTCTCAGCTATTTTACACACTTAAAATAGCAGAGAGCACTCCCATAGTATCTAGTAAACTTTAAAGGGACTGGTTTCCCAAAGTGCCCATTCAGGCTGGCTTTAGAAATGGGGAGTGGAGTTTCATCCTCACAGAGGAAGCATGGCAGGTATCACTCTCTTTCAGAGACAGGAAACCTATGCTAAATGTTCTGTGAGAGGCTGTGCTGGGGTTGACTGACCCAGCTACCAAGAAAGTATCAAATGAATATCCAGGCAAATGTGATTTTATCCTGAAACAATTGTCACTAATGAGTAAGGCCTTATGATGAGACAAAACTCCTGATTCTCTACGTGTATGCTCACACACCTCCTTCTGACTCTCCAGCCAAGTAAATACCAGCTCCAACTCCACCCAGCCTTGAGAGGTCAGGCCTTTCAGGGTTCACTCATTCTACACCCTCTCAGCAAGTATTTTTCTCAGCTGTGCATCATGGTCTATTAGTGAGTCATGAAAACAATACAGCAGAATAAACAACCTATGTTTAAAAAACAACAACAAAAAAAACAGAACAGAAAATATCAGAGTGAGTTACATAAAGACAGGGGAATGCTCTTTTGTGAAACTGGTTTGCATTCAGCTACCAGGTGAAAAGCTGGTGTTTCAAACAACCCTGGTTGCACCATGGAACAAAGACCTGGCAATCTACCTCTGTAAAAATTCCGTAGAGTTCAGTAACACCTGGGGTGTCTGTCAGTCAGGATTTATTTGATACCAAGACATTTTTTTAATTGCATTGTTGATAACTGATTTTGATAAATGTACAATGAATATCTAAAATGTTAACATTTGAGGCATATGAATGAGACGGATTTTGCGTATCTAAAATAAAACACCCAATGCCTTCTAAGAGTTCTGGTGTGGCGCTGTAGGATAAGCACTGGACTGTGAACTACAGGGTTGGTGGTTCAAACCAACCAGCTGCTCCTCGTGCTATGAGTTGGAATCGACTCCATAGTACTTAACAATACCTATGTAGGTGGTTAGGCCCTGGATCCTTACAGTCCCTGAGACACTCTTCTTTTACAGCCTTCCACCCTGACTATTATTGCTTTGCTTTTTATGTCTACTACCAGTGTGTTTCACAGAAATATAAAACAAGCCATATGTAATTTAATTTTGTAGTAACCACATAAAAAAGAAGAAGAAAAAAACCAGGTAAAATTGATTTTAACATTTTTAGTTTTATCAAAATAAAATAGCCCAAACATTATCATTCCAAACTGTAATCAATATAAAAATTATGAATGAGATATTTTTCTTGTGCTAAGTCTTCAAATTGGAAGCAGCCAAGAAATCAAATGATGTATTACATTAATCTGCTGCACAAGACCTCTTTAAAGTGTTTAAGAGCAAAGATATCAGTTTGAGGACTAAAGTGCACCGGACCCAAACCATGGTATTTTCAAGAACCTCATTAAGCATGTGAAAGTTGGACAGTGAGTAAGACGACATAGAAGAATTGATGCACTTGAGTTATGGTGTTGGAGGAGTATGTTAAAACTACCATAGATATCCAAAAGAACAAACAAATCAACGTTGGGGGAAGTACAGCCAGAATGGCCAGACTTCATCTCTCATACTTCAGACTTAGTATCAGAAGGGACCAATCCGTGGAGAATGATACTATGTTTGGTAAAGTGGAAGGTTGGAGAAAGAGAGGAATACACCCAGGGAGATGGATTTGCACAGTGGCAGCAGCAATGGGCTCACACGTGGCAACGATTGTGAGATTGGCAAAGAATCGGGCAGTGTTTCGTTCTGTTGTGCACAGGCTCGCTAAGAGTTGGTACCAACTCAGTGGCACCTAACAAGTCTTCAAAAACTGACTGCATTTTATACTTACAAGCCATCTTATTTTGAATTTACTACAGTTGAAGTGCACAGTAGCTACATGTGACTGGTGCCTACTGTATAGGACACTGTAGGACCACACTACGAGCTGCACAGACTGAGACACTGTCTTAATTCCACCCCCACCCCACCCCCCAAATCATCAAGAACGGACTAAAATTTACTTAGTAAATCAACATGGGCTTCAAAAAAAATACTGGAAAAAAAAAAAAAAAGTGAGCCCACCTCCCTCTTTAAGTTTAGGGACTTACAGGCACAGCAGATTCATCTTTTTCCATCTTCTGGCACGACTCTTTCTCTATGCCTAAAACACAGAGAGTCATTTTTAATGGTTATCCCAAGAAGTCGGTTCCTTGAACTTCCTAGTTGAAGACTCTTGAAAATCCCAATGCAGGCCAGAAGGACACTATGAATGCATGAAAAGTAGCTCAAGAATTTAAAAGAGGCACTGGCATTCTGCTAATCACTGCGCTGTTCAATGTGAAAATTCCAAAATAGTCAGAGGAAAGAAGAAAGCCATAAACCAACCACCAGTACTTTTTAGGTAGGAAGAGCAAGGCTTCCCCCTTGTGGTCACTGGAGGTTTTGCAAAAGTTGAACTAACCAAGGGATTTTTTTTTTTTTTTTTAGAAACCAGAACACTGAATGCTATTTTATTACCAAGTCTGAGTGAATTGAAACTCCAGCCATAAAAGATACTCTCAATGCAATTAACATAGCAGATAAAATCATAAGCTTTACATTTCAATACCTGCAAAACTATCCTCCCCATAACTTCAGCTGGCTTCCTTACCTCTAGCCTATCTTCTGCTTGACCCATCAGACAACAAAAATCAAAACAACACAAAAAACCCCAAAAGGCTATGGACTAACAGCGGAACATTTAAAAGATGAGAAAGCATACACGTGTTTAAAGGTATAATAGTACACTATTTTAGTGTACTAGCTGTCAATGATTTAAAACATTCACCTGCTCAAAAACCTGATGCCCCATACTTAGAGGATGAAGTCCAACCCCGTTTCTCATGTGCCCTGTGCTCACAGAAAACTACAGGACATTTTACCAACATGACATATTCCTTCCAACCCCTCCATGAGACTCTTGTTCCCTGATGCACATCTATGAATCTAGCAAGAGCCAGCTCAAAGGTGACCAGGAAACTGATGATTTACCTCTCCAGGGCCAGAAATCACCACGCCCAGGACCGTGGCCCCTGCTTGTCCCTGTGATAATGGAATCAGCTACAATGTAACAGCTTGTTTAAATCTGTTACCGCCCAGAGAAGGTGAGCGCCTCCAAAGCACAGACTAACTAGTTGTTCATTAACTTTAGGCTCCTGTTGTATCTAACAGAATCCTAGCTCGATAAATTTCTGTTGAAGGAATTTTCTTCTAGTGTAGAAGAATACAAATTAATTAAGCAAATATTTACCACGTACCTGCTACATACTTGGCATCAGAAGAAATTCAAAGACGAACCTCTCATAGTCCCTGAACTCAAGAAACATGTGAATTACTTTTGTTTAAATGACAAATACAGCATAGATGCTGTACAATGGGAATTGGAGGAAGAAATATAGTGAGAACATAAAGGATGGTGGGTAATGCTGGAAACAGACATGAAAGGATGAGCAGACATTTTATAGGGGATGACAAAGAAAGCTATTTCAAATAGAAGCAACAACAGTAGTTACAAAAGTACTATGGGTTAACTCCAAGTAATTGGGTTATGAAGGGGCAAAAAGGGGAATGGCAAATGAAGCCTCTGGGAAAGATGTCACAGCAGAAAGTGGGTTTGAAAGAAATCTTCCTAGTACACAAGGAGACACCTTGTTCACATCCTGACTTTCTACCAGTTTCCTCACTTTGAGGGCTGGTCATGTTTTTAACAAATTCTTAGCCACCATTCATATGTCAGTGTGTTGTACGGTGGTTCTGGAAGATATGCCACCAGTATTTTAAACCATGGTGGACAGGTTTCAGTAGAGCTTCCAAACTAAGACAGATTAAGAAGACCACTTTGGAAAGGTTAGTCATTGAAAACTTTGTGAATAGCAGTGAAACACTGTAGCTGTGACCTTCAGGTTCAAAGGCACTTAAAAGATGACTGGGGAAGGAAGAGCTGTCTCCTCAAAGTAAAGGTAACCGTAGGAATGAAGATGGAGGAAAGCTTTTGGGACCTTCATTTACTGATGGGACGCAACTCAGAATGAGAACAAACAGCTGCAAACATCCATTAATAATAAGAATGTAGAATGTATGAAGTATGAATCTAGAAAAACTGGAAGTTGTAAAAAATGAAATAGAGCGCACAACGATAAATATCTTAGGCACTGCTGTTGTTAAGTGCAGTCAAGTCAGTTCCAACTAATAGCTACCCTGTATAGGGTTTCTGAGGAGCGATTGGTGAGTTTGAACCACCAACCTTGCGATTCAAACCAATCTTGCGGTCCAGTGCTTACTCTGCAGTACCACACCAGGCACTAATTAGTGAGTTTAAATGGACCAGTAGTGGCCACTTTGAAAGGGATAATCAAATAGTTTATTATGCTGGAAATGACAAACTCAAGAGGGATGGCGTTGCATTCAAAAGGAGCAGTTCAAGATCTATCCTGAAGTACAAGGCTGTCAATGACAGGATAATATCCACACACCTACAGGGAAGACCAGTTAATATGACTATTATTCAGATTTACATACCAACCACTGGTATGCAATAATATAAAAAACCTTACAATTCTACCAGCTTCTTCAGTCTAAAATGAAATCAAGTATGCAATCAAGATGTATTGATAACTTGCTTCCGAAGTTCAAAGCAAAGAAGAAGGATCGATAGTTGGAAAATATGGCTTTGGTGACAGAAATGAAGCTGGAGACTGCATGATACAATTTTGAAAGACCAACAACTTCTTTATTGCAAGTATCTGTCTTCTCTCAATAATGTACACATGAATCTTGCCAAATGGAACAGAAAAATCAAACTGATTACATCTGTGGAAAGAGACAAGAGAGAAGCTCATTATCATCAGCCAAAAGAAGGCCAGGAGTCAACTGTGGAACAGACTACTAATTGTTCATATGCAAGTTCAGCTTGAACCTAAAGAAAATTAATGCAAATCCATGGAAGCCAAGATACGACTTTAAGTATATCCCACCTGAATTTAGACACCATCTCAAGAACAGTTTTGATGCATTAGACACCAATGACTGAAGACCAGATGAGTTTGGGATGACATCAAGAACATCATACATGAAGAAAGCAAAAAGTCATTTAAAAGGCAGTAAAAAGAGAAAAGGCCAAAATGATGTGAGAAGAGACTCTGAAACTTGCTCTTGGAACGTAGAGAAGTTAAAGTGAATGGAAAGAAAATGAATTAAAAGAGCTGAACAGAAAATTTCAAAGGGCAGCTTGAAAAGACAAAGTCAAGTATTAAAGTGCAATGTGCAAAGACCTGGAGTTAAAAAACCAACAGAGAAAAACATGCTCAGCATTTCTCAACCTGAAAGAATTGAAGAAAAAAATTCAAGCCTCAATTTGCAATATTGAAAGATTTCATGGACAAAATATTGAATGATACAGGAAGCATCATAAAACCATTGAAGGAATACAAAGCTACTGCTGGTATTGAAGGAATAAGTCCAAGCTTCACAGAAGGCACTGGCAAAAAATAAGCCTCCTGAAATTGACTGAATACAAATTAAAATGTTTCAACAAACTGATGTACCGCTGGAGATACTCACTCATCTATGCCAAGAAATTTGAAATATACCTACCTGGCCAACTGATCGAAAGAGATCCACATTTATGCCTATTCCAAAGAAAGGTGACAAAACAGAATGTAGATTTTATCAAACAATTTCATTAGTATCACATGCAAGTAAACTCTGCTGAAGATAATTCAAAAACGGTAGGAACTGTCAGAAATCTAAGCTGAATTCAGAAGAAACCTTGGAATGAGGGATATCATCGCTGATGTCAGATGGATCCTGGCTGAAAGCAGAGAATACCAAAAAGATGTTTACCTGTGCTTTATTGCCTATGCAAAGGCATTCGACTGTATAGATCATAACAAACTATGGCTTACATTTTAAAGAAGAGGTAATTCCAGAACATTTCATTGCACTCATGAGGAATCTATATATAGACCAAGAGGCAGTCATTCAAAAAGAACAAGGGGATATTGAATGGTTCAAAATGGTTCAAAATGTGTGTCAGAGTTGTATTCTTTCACCATACTTATTCAGTCTGTATGCTGAGCAAATAATATGAGAAACTGGATTCTATGAAGAAGAATACGGCATCAGGATCAGAGAATGACTCATTAACAGCTTGGGATATGCAGATAACACACTCTTGATTGGCTGAAATGAAGAGGACTTGGACTACTCACTGAGGACGATCAAAGACTACAATATGGATTGCACATTAATGTAAGGAAAACAAAAATCCTCATAACTGGACCAACAGATAACATCATGATAAACAGAGAAAAGACTGAAGTGTTAAAAGATTTCATTTCACTTGAATGCACAATCAACAATCATGGAAGCAACAGTCCAGAAATCAACCCATGTATTGCATCAGGCAAATCTGCTGCAAAAGACATTTAAAATGCTAAAGAGCAAAGATGTCACTTTGAGGACCAAGGTGCACCTGACCCGAGCCATGGCATTTTCAATCACCTCTTAGGCATGCAAAAGCTACACAATGAATAAGGAAAACAGATGCAACTGAATTATGGTGTTGGCAAAGAATATCGAATACACCATGGACTGACAGACTAACAAGTCTCTTCTGGGAAAAGTATGACCAGATTGCTCCTTGGAAGTGATGATGGTGAGACTTCATCTCTTTGGACATGCTGCCAGGAAGTACCAGTCAGTACCTGGGAAAGTGGAGGGTCAGCAAAAAAAAAAAAGGAAGACCTCCAATAAGATGGATGGGAAAGTGGAGGGTCAGCAAAAAAAAAAAAAAAAAAAAGGAAGACCTCCAATAAGATGGATGGGAAAGTGGAGGGTCAGCAAAAAAAAAAAAAAAAAAAAGGAAGACCTCCAATAAGATGGATGGACACAGTGGTAGAAGCAATGGGCTCAAACATAAGAACCACTTGTGAGGATGGAGCAGGACCGGGCAGGCTCTGCTGTGCACAGGATCTCCGTGAGTCGGAACCAACATTTAAGCAGCACTATAAAAGCCTCAAATTAAATTATGCTCCTAAAAAGGAGCTGACTTTTTAAATAATATTTAAGGTCAGAGGTGCAACTTGGGATATGGAAAAGGGTCTCAGTTCTAAAATGTTCTGAAGAGTCCAGAAGCAAGAGGGTTTGGCCAGGTTAATCTAGGTTCTTCATTAGAAGGTTAAGAAGGGATTTATAGGGCAGTAATCAATTTCAACCAACCACATCTGTAAGCAGGAATATTTATAATAGTAAGAACAACAAAAAAGAAACCAAACAAGTTGCTGTCAAGTCTATGCCAACTCAAGGCGATTCCATTTTTATTATTTAAAAATATTTAGCATACTATTTAGGAGCTCTGGTAGCTCTGGGATTATGAGTTGGGCTGCTAACCGTGAGGTCTAAAGTTTGAATCTACCAGCTGCTCCTTGGGAGAAAGATGAGGATTTCTGTTCACATAAAGATTTACATCCTCAAAAACCCTATACAGGGAAGATATGAGTTGGAACTGACTCCACAGCACACAACCATTACCACCACAATATTTACAATAGCCTAATGTCCTGGTGCGGAGTCCTGGTGTAGCGCTGTGGGCTAATGCGTCAGACTGCAAAATCGTTTGAACTGCAAGGTTGGTGGTTTAAGACATGAGTTGCTCTTTGGAAACCCTATACAGGGTCACTATGGGTTGGAATCGACTCGACAGCACTTAACAACAACAACAATGTCCTGGTATGGTGCTGTAGGATAAAGCACTGGACTGCAAGGTCGGTTTGAACTACAAGCTCAGCAGTTCAAACTCACCAGCTGCTCCTTGGAAACCCTGTAGAGGCTTGCTATGAGTCGACGATTAGACGGCACTTAACAGCTACAACAATGTAATGAAAATAGTCTCTTCACACTTTAGCAAGTGTGGTTCAAGAAAACATGGAAGTAGATTGCTTGGGCTCAAATCCTAGTTTTCTTATTCATACACCAACTAACCCTGGCCGAATTATATAACTTTATGTGCCTTACTTTCCTTCTCTGAAAAATGGAGGAAAGAGTAATACCTAGTAAAGAGTAACAAGTTATTCACAGACACAAACAGAAAAATGTTGGCACATGGTAAGGCACTATACCTATTATCTATCATTTCAAATAAACGTAATATCATAAAAAAGCCAAAAGTACATCTTTAGAGGCCACTCTAAGGTATGGCTACATTCAAACAAAATTATAAGGATATTCAAGCAATTTCATATATCAGTGTCTCCTGGACATCCTGCCACACTCATATGTTCTTAGAGCTTCCATTAAGACCCTTTTCTATCTCTTTCTAGGTAAAGTAAGAAGCGAAGCATAGATCATCCTCCTAAATCTACCTGTCAACTGACCCATCTCTCAACAGGCCACCTCCTGCTTAAGACTTTCAGACATTTCTAAGCTTACATGCATTAGAAAGATGACGATATGCTTCCATACCTGCTTCTGAGGATGAAAACGTATGATTTATGGTAGACACAGGAACATTGGAACATTCAAAGTACTCCAGGTCTTCCTCTGGCTCACCTTTCACCTCGGGCCGGGCTGGCTTCTGAGCAGAAGTGGACGCCAGTTTCTCTTCATCCGTAGCATGCCCTTCCCTATTTGAAATGTCGGAAATCTGGGAGATCACTGCCCCTTCATCCTGGGAAATGCACCAGATAAGATGCTGCCTTTTAGGATAGATAGTACCTGTGAGTATGGTGCTCCATTAGGAAAAAACTCACCCAAACATCTGGTAGTGTAGTGGTTACGAGACAGGCTGCGAACCTCAAGGTCAGCAGTTTGAAACTACCAGCTGTTCCGCGCAAGAAAGATAAGGCTTTCTGCTCCTGTAATGATTTACAGCCTTGGAAACCCTATGCAGGGTTGCTATGAGTTGGAACTGACTCCACGGCCACCACCACCATATGAGATCAAAAGGTCATCAATTATACTAAAAAAAGATGAGAAGATATGGGAGCAGGGAAACTAGAGTATAGGAAATCATGAGAATCATAAGGAAAATCATGAGAATCTTGACACACTGGGAAAAATGTCACTAATGTCACTGAACAAATTGTTACAAATTATCAAATGGGAACCTAAATTTGTTATTATTGTTGAAAAAAAAAATCCACACACACACATATAAAATACATGTTAAGCAAGGTCAGTGGTCCACACCCATCAGCTGCTCCACAGAAATCATATACAGGTCACTATGAGTCAGAACGAACTCAACAGCACTTAACAGCAATGCTTTTAAGTAAGTCAAAAGCCAGGGAAAAGTAACATATCAGGAATGTAACCCACATATTCAATACAATTAACCACAGATTTGTGTAAAAAGCAAGGAAAGAAGCTGGAGTCTTTCAATCGGAAAATGCTGCGTTTTATGGAACCCACATATATAATTTGAAAATGGGGCTTTCCTACCTTGAATTTACACATAAGCAGCTTAAGTAATACAAGACAGAGGTTTTGCAAAGTTGTTTGTTCTTATACTGATTATATTTTTTGTGAAGATTCACATACCACATTGTACTCCAAGTGACAACTAAAATCTTTTTATCATAAATTGTGTAAGTGTAAAGGATGTAATTTATCATATTCTGAATAATGACCTTGTTTAATGCAATCCAGGTAATCTAGTGTATTGATACCCTGTGATTCATTTAGAAACTACAAACAAGTTCTTTAATAGAAATTTTTCATCGTTCCTTTTTCACTCTGAATTTATATTACCACTCTAGTTCCTAGTGTGGTGCTGTACTGTAAGCATTTGACTCCAAGGTTGGTTTGAACTGTAAGGTTGGCGGTTCAAACTCAACAGCTGCTCCTTGGAAACCCTATACAGGGTCACTATGGGTCAAAACCAACTCAACAGCATTTAAAAAGCCATATAAAGCCATTTGAACTGCAAGGTCCGCGGTTTAAGCTCACCAGCTGCTTCTTGGTAACCCTATGCAGGGTCGCTATGGATCGGAACCAACTTGATGGCACTTAACAACAACAACATAAACATTGGAAGGAGCTCTGGTAGCGAAGTGGTTACGAGTTGGGCTGCTAACCACAAGGTCAGCAGTCCAAATCCACCAACTGCTCTGTAGGAGAAATAGAAGGATTTTTATCCAATAAAGATTGTTGTTGTTTAATGCCGTCGAGTCGATTCCGACCCATAGCGACCCTTTATAAGGTTTCCGAGGAGCAGCTGTGAACTTGAACTGCCGACCTTACAGTTCAAATGGCTTTGCAGTCTGGCGCATTAACCCACAGCACCACACCAGGACTCCCAATAAAGATTACAGCCTCAGAAACGCTACATAGGGTTGCTGTACTCAATGGCAGTGTGTTTTGGTTTGGGGTGTTGGGCTGCTAACCACAAGGTCAGCAGTTCAATCAGCTACTCCTTGGGAGAAAGGGTTTATGCTCCCATATATATGTATATTCATATTTCTCAACTTTTAATTGTGAATTGAGTGAAGGTTTACTGAGCAGATCATCAGTTTTACATTGCACAAATCATACACTTTGCTTCGTTACACGGTTGTAATCCCCTCCATGTACCACCATTTAACAGCATCTGCCTTTATTTACTATTGCATTCCTCCCTGCGTCTCCCACTACCTTCATCTGTCCTCTGCTAACCCCCTTCTTGTTGTATATCGTCTGCCCCGTCACCCATGTTAATGTGCGTCTACCCTTTAGGCCATGAATAATTTTCCCTACTCCCGCAACCATCATAGATTGTTTCTTTCATCAAGAAAAAAAACTTTTTTTTAGCTTTTTACAACAGTGGTCTTATAAAACATTTGTCCTTTTGTGACTATTCATTATTCTTCAACATTTTGTATCCCATTGTGTATATTTATCAAAGTCAGTTTGACCATTCTTCTATTGATGGACATTTAGGCTGTCTCCATCTTTTTGATTATGTCTCTTGTAGACAGCATATTAAAGGATCCTGTTTTCTTATCCAGTCTGCTTTTTATGTCTCTTGACTGGTACATTTAATCCATTTGCATTCAGTGTAATTATCAATTGGGTGTCTTTTTTTGTGTGTTTTTGTGATGCTGCTGGATGCGTTGTTCCATGTAATTTTCTATGCTGAGTTCACTTTGTTTGTGGAGTTTTTTTCATTTCATTTCTGTTGTGTTAATGTTTATTAAATATGATTTTCCTTTTTTTTTTAATTTTTATTTTGATGTACAGGTGTATTATTTTTCTTTGTGGTTACCAAGTACCTAATGATTTTTTTCCCCTGCTTAAAGCAATCTACTTGACTTCCTTGTCATTTGGAAGTTCTGTATCTTAAAGCAATCTACTTGACTTCCTTGTCATTTGGAAGTTCTGTATCTACACTATTCCCTTGACTTCAGTGTACACTGCAGTCTTCATTATACTCTGTACGTTTGTTTTAACATCTTATTGGTTCTCCTTTGTAGATAAGTTTTTGCTTTTCCCGAGCTGCTCCCAAGAGTCTTCCCTTGTTTTGCGCTTTTGATCCTCTCTTCCTATTCTGGAATTCCAATCACCTTTAAGTTGTTCCTCTTCATGTTGTTCCGCATAACTCTCAGGCTTTCTTCAGACTTTTTTCTGATTGTTCTTTTAGCATACTAGTATTGAGAGATTTATCTTCAAGTTCACTAATTCGGATAGTCTTTTCTTCAAATCTTCTCCTTTGCCCTTTCAATGTACTGTCCATTTCTGTAATTAAAGTATTAATTTTCTGGATTTCTAACTGCAGACTTTATGTGGTTTTAAAATTTGCATTTATTTTGTCTGTTTGTTAGTACAGTGTTTTCTTGAATGCTTCTAAAGTTTTTATTGTATTTTCCTTGCTTTCTTCACTCTGTCAATCCATTGAAAGTACCAAAATACCATTCTTTTCAATTACTTTCATTGCCTTTTTTTTCCTCAAAAATGTTTTCTGGCTCTGCAGCTCGGTCATTTATTTCAGCCATCCTCTTGTTTCTTTGTTGAGATAAAATTGTTATCTCTGGGGTTGTCATATTTATAAAAGCAAACAGTATAGTTGTTGCACCTGGAGGGAAAAATTCGCTGGTGGTCTCCTGTAATTCAAGGAGTTCACGAGGTACTTGTGGAAGGGATGTGACAGCAGAATTCTGGCCCTACATGGTATTCCTATTGGCCTCAGTGTTATCTATGTTCAGAGAACTCAATCTGGAAGTAGTCTGTGGGGCCCTTGATGGAGCCCCGTTTCAGCATCTGTTAGGACCACAAGGAAGCTGGGGGTACGGTGACTGGTTAAATGCTTGTCTGGTGGCTCTGTGGGTTTTGTAGGTCTAGAGCCAAACCCACCTGAATTCTGGCACCAAAGTGGCACACCAAAGTGGTGCAGCCAGTCACCAACCAACTCACACTGGCATGGCTTCCAACCACATGGGTCTGTGCTGTGGGTGCATGAGGGTGGGAGGTGGCTACATCTCTGGTCACCAGGGAAGCTTAGGGATAAAGAAGAAATTGCACTCTTCCTGTGGCCTTAGGCAATCTGCTCTGCCAGGTCTCCCTCTGCTGTCAAAGCTGTGTCTGACCAGCTGCTCACCAGTCAAGTCTCCTTCTCGCCATCCCTGCTTGGCCTCTCCTCCCAGCAAGCACTCCATCTGCCTCTCACCCTTTATTCTGAAGTTCTGGGTGCCAGAATTTTCTTCTGTGTCTGTTTTGTTTGGTCTCTCATATCTTTGTTGTAGAGGGTCTGTGAAGTGCCTAGTCTCACCTCCCACAAATATATTTATAGCCTCAGAAACTGTGCTATGGGGCAGTTCTACTCTGTCCTTTCAAGGCCGCTGTGAGTCACCATCAACTCAATGGTAGTAGGTCAATTCAGAATTAATTCTAATAAAATGGTTATAAACATTAAGTGTTTAAGTTATAGACCATTAAGTGACTAAGTGTTAATTTTTTTCCTTGGACAGTTATCCACACAAAATTATGAACACAAAATTTAACTAAAAATACTGCAAGTTTTGATGAGTCCCATCAAATGCAAAATCACATTTTCATTAAAAATAACTTTCATTACAATTAGATGGGCCTGAGTGTTTGGTTTTTGTATTTCCTGATTAGTTCATGGGTTCAGCTAATGACAAATAGTATTTACTTATTTTTAATAATGTTTTATTGTGAATTATATGATAGTTTACATGGGAGTACTTTAGTTTTGCAATCATTCCATCGTATAACAACTCATTGCCATGGTACCAATCCCCTCCATGCATCATCAACCACCCAAAGGGTATATCCCAGAAACCTCCCCCCACATACCCCCCCCCCCTAGTTTTCATCCCACAGTCCCTTTCCCTCTCTGGGTCCAAAGTTCCCCAGTCACTTCATCACTCCACGTCATCATCTCTGTCTCTATCTCAGGCATCTCTGTTTCTCTGGGTAGGGTCCGGCTCTCAGCTCTTCTCTGTTGATGGTCCCAGAGACCTCCATTCCTATCCTGGAGAATTAATCACTCCCTTCCTTGTTACAAAACGTCTACCTTTGCATTTCCAACCCTCATAGTCCGTTCGGATAAAGCATTATTCACTATAGTATCCTGAGTTACCCAACTGTATCTCCTTTCATCAGCTCCGCCCAGACAGATTGAATAGTACCTACTGGAGATTCTGCCTTCCGCCATGCTCCCTAGCACTAGGTTCCCTCTTGAAAGCTTGTAAGCCAGTCACTTCTTGCCTTTGTAGTCCCCCTCTCCCCATTTGAGTATCCAATGTCCAAGCTGCCCTTCTCCGTCCACTCTGTGTGTGTGGGTGTGTGAATGTTTCTTGCTGTGAGGATTTGTTCCCTCTTTTGAGTTGCTGCTCCATAGGTATAGGTCAAGTTCATCAGACCGTATCAGCTCACTCTTTTTTTTTTTTTCTCCCCTCTTCTTTCCTCTCCTGGTTGAGCTCCGATCATCCAGACATGCGGTCTAGGTCACGTGGGTATCATTTGCAAGTGTGGGCGCTCCTGTGCATATGTCCTCTCATCCCGTCAGCCAGTAGCTCCACTCTCCTCTCGAGTCCTCCGTGGCCATGCCACTGACTCTGGGCCCAAGAGTCCCTAGGCCTCTTCACACTGCTTGCCAACCAGGTCCCCAACTGGGTCCACAGAAGTCCACTGAACATTGTAGGGCTTAGCTTGCCGCTTCATTGCTGCTTTTATCCCACTTCCCCCCATCGGTGATGTGTGTACAAATAGTATTTATTGTTAGAAAGAAGCAAGGATCAGAATCAATTATATTCCAAGGTATCATTTTTTCCCCTAATTTTTTTAATGTGAATTAAGTGAAGGTTTACAGAACGGGTTATCAGTTTTAAATTCAATAAACCATACACTTTGCTTCACTACATGGCTACCATCCCCTCCATGTACCAACAGTTAACAGTATTTACTTCTATTCACTTAACTATTGCAGTCCTCCGTGTCTCCCCTTACCTTTCCTCTAACCTCCCTCTTGTATATTGCCTGCCCTGTCACCCAAGTTAATAGGTGTCTACCCTCTAACCTGTGAATAATTTTCCCTCCTGCCTCAACCATCATAGATTGTTTACAACAACAACATCAGCTGACAGGAGTCCTGGTGTAGCACTGTAGGATATGCACTGAACTGCAGTTCAAACCCATCAGCCACTCCTTGGAAACTCTACATAGGGTTGCTGTGAGTCGAAAGTGACTCATAGACACTTCACAACAACAACAAATCAGCTGACAACTCAAGTACCCCTGTTTTGCTGAGAGCAATGAATTAGAAAACAATTTGACTTAACCCCACCCCCTATGTGTACTTGTTTGCGGTCCACTAGTCTGACATTCCAGTAATAGGCATATACTTACCTGAGAACACGCATCCAGAGCAAGGGACTGAGTTTCATATTTCTTCACCTTACAGCCACTCCTGGAAAGAAAAGAAACAACAGGTCAGTCTGGGATCCTGGTGACCACTTCTGAGGTTATGAGATGGAGCCAAGATAGCAGTATGTGCAGAGAGAAGCCGAAGCACACAGCACTGGACAGACCATACATGTTAAGAGATGGGAGCACCTTGTATGTCTCTCAATCTTTTCCTTCCACGGGACAGGGGAAGCCAAGGCACTGCAGCTCAGCTCATTCTCTGAAAAGGCCACCTTGCTTGCTTCTGGGGATGCCAAACACCAGTACTCTGACCCTAGTGGTTTTTAATTACACACCATCAAAAGCCTTCCAAAGAGTAGTTTCAGCATCCATTGAGCTTTGGTTCATCTGATCTTACTTGCTTGCCTTTGACATTTATTAGGAAAATCATCACGCTTGACCAGTTTCTTTAAAAGTCTTTTATTGCATTAAAAACCACAGAAGTCTGATAAGACAGCTCCAGTCTAGACCTGTGTGCTAACAAAAAAATGTGAAGAAAACAGAAATATTGGTGTAAACTGTTACCATTCCTACTGAGTCATAAAACAGAAGAGGACCACCATGAAGTATGAAAAGCCCACAACTGGGGAAAGCACAGATCACCTGTGGTTTTCAGACTAGCACGTAATTTGTGATTACAGGACTGATTCACAGTCTGGTGCTTAAACAAACTTTAAAATTGCCAATGACTCCTCCCCCACCAAAAAATGTCTACAACTTTTTTTTCTTTTGTTGAAAACAAAAAACAAGCACACAGCTACCAGAGTGTACATGCCTATCAGTTCATGATCTTCTTTCCTAATGTTCTGACTAAATACCACTCCCTGCTGCTAGAGTTGATGCCGTTAAATTTATCCCCTGTTCCAAGCCAGCAACCTTAGTCTATCAAAAAAAGCGAGTCATTGTCAATATTAAACAGCAAAATAGTCGCTCAAACCATTGCTATGATGATCTCTGGATTGGGGCCAAGCCAGCACTTGGTATTGCCTAAGTGCTACCTGATGCGTGCCAAGCCAGGGAGTACAAGCTCTTGTACCTAAGGTGGGCTGCTCTCCACTCCTTTAGGTACAGATGATTGCAAGGCTAAGCCAACTCATGGCGGGCAAATGAAATGCTAAAAACCATCCGATCAAACTCAGAAATGGAAGCCACATGCTATGGAGAGATGGTCTGGGTACAAGTAGGGGAGGAAATGGTCAACAGTCCCAGAGACAGAATAAACCATGGCAAGAGTACTTACAACAGAAAACAGAGAAATTTCACTTGTTCAGTAGTCCTGAGGCACCAACAAAATTTGACAGGAAAGAGACAGATGGAGAAAAAGTCATGTGAAGACTATTTTCCTTTAGTCGGACAGATGTAAAAGTTGCAAAGTTCTTTCTATGAAGTGAGGTACAAATTAAAAATGGCATATTCATGCATGTTATCACTGGTGAGTGAATGATTTTCAGGAACCTTAACTCTGAACCAAGTGAGAGAGTGGTAGAAACATTCAGAAATCCCCCACAGATCTTAGAGATGGAAAGTAAACTTCCAAGTATTTGTAAACGCATAAAAATAATATTTCACTGCTGAGCACATTTTCTATTAAATGTTTAGTCATTCAGATCAAAGGTAATGCATGAATAAGTAAATATCTGAATATAAGAGGAAGCTTCAAAAGTTCCTGGAAAAATTCTATTATCTTTCAATTCCATTTTTTTCCAAGTTTTTTGAAGCCTAACTCGTATATCTACTTTTATCTCCTGTGTGTTTCACTAAGACACTTAAAATGATTTCACATAACTTATCGAGTCTGTGAAATCCATCATATTATAAAAGAATCTAAGCCTACTGTACACATCTTTTTGAAGTCACACAGATCAATCATTAACAGAACTCCCAACTCCACACGGGGTCTACCCATCACCACACGTTTATTTTGTTTCTTTCCTACAAATGAGAAGATCTGCTAACCAAAATCAGTGTTACACAGAATCTAGCATTCTCCTCTGTAGAAAGAAAAAGGAGACAAGAGTTTTGACTGCACAAGAATTAAAAAGAAAGAGAAAACAAATCAAGGAGTTCATTCACCAAAACCAAAACTGGAGTAAAATGCTGCCAGGTGAGGGTGACAGGATTCAAGAGCGTGCCTCTAAGCTACTGAGAACAAAGTGTAGAATGAATTACCCTCCCTTTGGGCCAGATTTAATCTCATCACAAACATGAATGCCCTGACTATACAAGGGGACTTCAAAAAATTTGTGAAAAACTTCATCATCTTGTAATTCTATTTTTTCATGAACTTTTTAAAGCCCCCTCGTGTATATCCAACGTGCAACTGAAAGTAAGGCTTTCAAGTGACTTCTCTGGTAGGTGAAAGCATCCCATAATTAAGTAACACGGCAGTGACATGCCCAACACTCACCTCAAGTACTGTCTAGATATAGCTAACTACTTCAGAGGAGTATTTGAGGATACAGATTAGTAATATTCTTCAGCAACTGTTTAACTGCTTCTATACAATCAAAACTCATTCACCTAACTTAGCCTCTGGGTGATACTCTGGTGCTGCCCAGCAACTGCTTCCTACACTGTTAACTTTCTTGGCCCTGAAACAGATACTTCTCTTTAAACCTCTGGATATCTCTGTCTCTTTCTTTCCCATATAACTCACCACACCTGCAATCTGACATTTTTGTTATACTAAGAGCCCTGGATTGTAAGGTCGGTTTGAACTTCAAGGTTGGTGGTTCAAACCCACCAGCCACTCCTAGAAACCCTATACAGGGCTGCTATGAGTTGGAACTGACTCCAGGACACTTTAATAAACAACATGAGTCAGAAGAGACTCAATGACAGTGAGTTTGGTTTTAATGCTGAAAGGTTATTTCCAAAAGTGACGTAAACCAAACCACAACTGTACCAGCTGCCATTGAGTGGATTCCGACTCATGGTGACCCCATGTGTAGAGAACAGAACTGCTCTATAGGGGTTTCAAGGTCGTGACCATTTGAAAGCAGATCGCCAGGTCTTTCTTCAGAGGCACGTCTGGGTGGGTCTGAACCGCTAATCTTTCAGTTAGTAGCACAGTCCTTAATCATTTATGTCACCCAGGGACCTTATCTATAGTAATACCTGAAAACATGGTACATGGCACTTCTTTTCATCTTCCCTTTGTATATTTCACCTCCAAGTCACTGGTTCCTCTTTATATCTAATTTTTTAGTCAGAGGGGTAACAAAGGGATATACTGTCATCTACTGAACTTTAATTTTTAATAAGGTACCCTTTTAACAAAGGAGCCCTGGAGGAGCACTGGGTAAAGACTGCCAACTGAAAGGTTGGTGATTTGAACCCACAAGTTTTCCATGGGAAAAAGATGGGGTAGTCTGCATCTGTAAACATTACAGTCCTAGAAACTCTATGGGGCAGTTCTACTCTGTCCTATAGCGTTGCTGTGAGTCAGAATCAACTATACAGCAACAGGTTTATCTTTGTGACAAAGTTAAAAGGAAACTTGGCATGGAGTATGGACTACAGCTGTCACTATGAGAAATTCCAGTGGTTCCAGATGTTTCAGGAGAAAGAAACAACCTGGAGGGAAGGAGGTTATTCAGATAACACAAAACAAAAAACCTGACTATCAGAATTAATTGATCATTTTAAACACTGCTAATCCTTATTTGAAATTAACATCCTTACTGATGGAACCAGAAACTACAGAAGGGGACAGGAACGCTCACCAACTTTCAGTGGTAGGTTTGCTTCCAATAAAAACTACAGCTTTCTGTGTCAGTGGAAAGATGTCTACCAGGCCCTTTTAGATTATTTAGACATTACTGATGCTAGACATGTAATTTATAGGGTTGGAATTTTTGTCTCATTTGAATAGGATGACAATCACTGATGCCTGAATTTTGTACATAAAGAGAATCTTAACAGCCCAGCTAGGATTTCTGAAAACCATCAAATCTTTATCTAGCCCTCTTACTCCACTTTTAAAAGAGAGAGAAATGAAAAAAGAAAAAGAAAAAGTATCCAGGGTAGGTAGGAGAAAGAGCTAAGGATTCATACAAGACAAGGCAGAAATTTTAAATGAAGACTTCTATTATTTCTGATTCCACACAAGAGTTAGGCAAAATAGTGAAGGCCTCCAGTATGAAGTTATAAGCTTTGCGTCTGCCCTGTTGCAACTCAAAGGTAAATTCAGTTTCCCATAATCAAAAGCAGCAGATCACCAAACCCACAGAGAAAACACAGAACACAAACATCCAGCTCCCATCGCCACTCACGTTATTAAACGCGACTTTGCCTTCTTGGGTGATTCTAAGATTTCATTAACATGATTACCAGTGGTAGAACAAAAATCGCTGCTTGTTAAAGTTGTAGTTGGTTTAAAGGGATCCATGGATTCGTCAAAGTTATCTGGGTCAAAGTGATAGGAGCCCTGAGAGGAGAGGGGTGGAGAGTTCTGCAGAGTAGAGCGGCCCCCAAAGGGATTAAAGCTGGGGTCATCCCACTGACTAGGATCCAGCTTGGAAGATGCATGGGGGGCAGAAGTATCTTCCGCTTTTGGGTCTGTAGGCTGATCTACACCTTTGACTCCGGCTGGTTTAATGATGCCATCTTTTTGTGTCTTGGGAGTCACTTTGTTACCCAGTTTCCTGCCAAATTTCCTTGGAAGGGCTTTCTTGGTCTCTACATTTTCTACATCTTCTGTGAAATCAAACTCCAGTTTCACAGGTGAGCTCCTTGACTCTTCCAGCAGTTCAACCCCTGAATCATTGGTGTCATTGCTGGTAGTGCCTGACGTTTCTTTAGCTTTACTGGGAGCTTTCTGGATCCTGGCACCTCCGGTCAAAGAAGAATTTGTGTTCTCATTCAATTCATCAAGATTGACCTGATAGGATGCTTTGGGAAGCGGGGTACCCTCTCCCAAAATTTCAGTTTCTGAGAAATCTCCGCTGATTGCTTTCTTCCTCAGAGAGACAGGCTTGGGCTTTCTTAGCTTGCTTCTGCTGGGTACCGGCTCTGAGCAGGTGTTTCCAGTCTTTAGATCAGTTTCTGTGGAAACCTCAAGTGTAACCCCCATGTTGCCTTCTGTCATTGCCTTGGCCTGGATGGCTGCTGGTGCACTGGAGGGCAAAGCCTCCTCTGAGACTTCATTTACAAAGCTGTGAGATGTTTTTGTTTCAAGAGCTGCTGGAGCATCTGTGGGATTCTTGACTTCTATTGAAAATGGCCTCACTATGGAAACTTTGCTACTATCATGCTCAGGTTCTTCTCTGAAATCCTTGATGGAGTAAGAAGCACTGGCTTTCTGTGGTACTTCATTTTCTGAGGGAGGAGGACAAGTCTCAGATAAACATTTTCCAACCACTTCTGCTACCAGCTGTTCATCATCTTCTTGGGATTCTAAAACAAAACACAAAAGCCTATTATTAAAGAATTATCCTTTTTGACATTGGGGAATGTTTTCTACTGCCTGAATTCACATATACAAACTGAAAAGTCTGTATCCCATTGTTTTTATTAAGCATCTCTGGGTTGCTATGAGTCGAAAACAGACTCGATGACACTTAACAACAACAAGATTCAGCACAATAGTCCCTGGGTAGTATAAACAGTTAACATGCTTGACTGCTAACTGAAAAGTTTGTGGTTTGAATCCATCCAGAGGTACCACAAAAGAAAGGTCAGTAATCTATTTTTAAAAATCAGTCACTGAAAACCCTATGGAGTACAGTTGTACTCTGACATTCGTGGGCTCACCATGAGTCAGAAGTGACTCTCTGGCTGCTGGTTTGGTTAACATTTGTTCAGCAAGGATGGCAGCACAACCTGAGAGAGAACAGCTGCTACACTAAACCCTAAAATATAAAATTCCTATCTCCACAGGTATATGGTTCATTACCCAAGTGATACAAATAATTATAATAGAACGACCTAGGAAAAGACTAAACAGATCAATGGTCTACTGCAAAACGTATTACTACGATGTCAAATTTCCATAGGTTAAAACTGGTCTGGAGGAAACTTTAGACACCAACTGCCTGCACTTTCAAGGTCAGAATTTCATGTAGTTAGCAGATTTGAAATGTTATGCTTTATAGTTTATTTTATTTTTGTTGTTATTGAGAATACGCACAGCAAAACCTTCACCAATTCACCAGTTCCTACATGTACATTTCAGTGGCATTGATTACATTCGTTGAGTTGTGCAATCTTTCTCATCCTCCTAATCGGACTTGTTCTTCCCTTATTAATATAAACTCACTGCCACCTAGTGCTTTCAAATTACTTTGCTCTACTTAATTCCAACAACCTCCAAAGAGATGGATTAACACTGTGGCAGCAGCCATTGGGCTCGAATGTGAGGATATCGCAGGACAGGGCACAGGGTCACTATGAGTCAGAACTGACTTGATGGCACCTAACAATAGTAACAACAACAAATTAGATCCATGTGTATAGATCTGAAAAGAATACAAACTCAAAGCAAACTTTCTTTACTAGTGAAGCTAAACCACTGTTTGATTTTAAGAAAACTTTGGGGGAGTATCTTTGGTTTAAAATTTAAAGATTATCTCAGGGCAATAGTTTTAGGAATTTATCAGTTACTATGACTCCTGAAGGAGTCCTGGAGTGGTGCTGTGGGTTAATGCACCAGACTGCAAAGCCATTTGAACTGCAAGGTCGGCGGTTCAAGCTCACCAGATGCTCCTCGGAAACCTATACAGGGTCGCTATGGGTTGGAACTGACTCGAGGGCACTTCATAACCAATGACTCCTGAAAGTCTAGATTCTATGAGATTTTGATATTCTACTTCTGTATCCCCCAATCAGGATTCTTTTATAGAATCTTTAATCAAAATGTTCAAAATTTCACAGAATTGGACACCATCCATATCTTCTGTGACGTTAAGTTTTCAAATGGAAGTTAAAACTACAAGTATCTCCTATTCCACAGAAAGTAGTTTAAATGATCAGTCTGTTTCAAAATTAAATGGAAAAAACCACCATGATCACCTAAAACAATCCAAATTTGAAAAAAATGCAGTAATTTGAAAAAGCAGATCCAGAAATGGTCTTAAAACCAAATAGTTCTTATTTTCACTTGCACACAAATCCAAAAAACAATTGTTATTTTCCTTAGGATCTCTGCTAAATTAGGCCAAGAAAACACACTAATTTTCTCTCCATCACTTGTGAAAAGTAAAACAAAAATCCCTTTTAATTAGGGTCTTTCTAGGAGAAAAGCTGCAGATATTGCTGTTGTTGGTAAATGCTGTCAAGTCCATTTTGACTCATATGACCCTGTATAGCGTTTCCAAGGAGCAGCTGCTGGGTTAATACCATCAACCTTGTGGTTAGCAGTCCAGTGCTTATCCTGTAGAGCCACACCAGGACTGCAGATAATGAGAAGGATAAACTTCTTTCAAACACAAACTAAGACAATACTTTTGTGACTTGAAATATCTGAAACTAGAGAGTGGCAGTAAAAGTTGAAATCAAATGCTTTTTATGATAGTATCTCAAGAATTTCAAGGGAATTCAGAAATGGCCTGGTCGAATTCTCTAATCCTGCTTTCTAACCCTAATCTAGGATCAAAGTACCAATCGTTACTGAAATAGTATGTAAAAGTATTCACACCTTTTTACATGACTCTGTATGACTGGAATTGGACAGTGACTTATAAAACAGCTGGTGCGCTTGAACAGCCGACCTTGTGGTTCAAACCGACCTTGACACATTAACCCACAGTGCCACACCAGGACTCCTATAAACTGTATACAGGGGCTTCAAAAAGTTCATGAAAAATTAAAAGATAATGGAATTTCCCCACAAACTTTTTGAAGCGACTTCATATATTGTAGAGAAACTTCAGATAGTCTGTAAATATCCAATTCAAATTGTTTAAAAAAATATAGTTAACCATACCATCAAAAAAACTTTTTTCAATATAGTAAATATATATGTCACAAAATGTTTGTCATTTCATTATAATTTTTTCTAAGTTCTCAGTGTATGATATCTGAGATTTAATTAAACATAAGGACAAAAAAAGGATTTAAAACAGCAGCAAAATCTAATTAACTGTTGAGTCATGAATGAGTATTTGGGAGTTTTCACTGTACTATGTTTTTCTCCTGCATTGTCTTGAGCCTTTTTATTCTCTACATTTTATATATTTTGTTGTTATTGTTGAGACTATGCAAAGTAAAACACCAAATAAACAGTTTCTACATGTACAATTTAGTGACACTGATTTTATTCTTTGAATTGGACTACCTTTCTCATCTTCCTTTTCTGAGTTGTTCCTTCTCATTAACATAAAATTACTTCCCTGGTGTGGCTCTGTGGGCTAATGCGTCAGACAGCAAAATTGTTAGAACTGCAGGTCGGTGGTTCAAGCTCAGTTCAAGCTGATGTTGCAGTCCATTGCTTATCCTACAGCCCCACATCATGACTCCAGTATGAACCTGGTTGGTGGTTGCATGCCACTGAGTCGGTTCCAACGCATAGTGGCCCTGTATAGGGTTTCCAAGGCTGTAACTCTTTATGGGAACAGAGTCTTCTATTTCTCCTGTGGAGCAACTGATAAAGATTCGAACTACTGACTTTGTTGTTAGCAGCCCAGCTCATAATTCACTACACTATCAGATCTCTGGTAGCATAGTGGTTACGAATCAGGCTGCCAACCTCAAGGTCAGCAGTTCGAAATTACCAGCTGTTCCGTGGGAGAAAGATAAGGCTTTCTGCTCCCGTAAAGATTTACAACCTCGGAAACCCTGTACTGGGTTGCTTCACAATCAATTCACAATAAAAACTTAAAGGAAAAAAACAAAACATTAACCACTGAAATCATGTGGCGTACAGTTCAACTCCAACACACTACGGTCACTATGAGTAGGAGTCAACTTGATGATAACTGGTTTAGGATTGTTTTCTTTTTGGTCAGCATTCCTCAGTTATACTACAAGTGATCCCATTGCACTTGACAGATCTTTAAAAACGTATAAGGAGGTGCACACCAATGTACAGTGCAGTACTATTCATAATAGCCAAAAGGTGGAAACAACCTAAATGCCCATCAGCAGATGAATGGGTAAACAAAATATGCTACATACATACAACGGACTACTAACTCACTAAGAGAAATGAAGTCTTAATACATGCTACAGTATAGATGGAGTTTGAAGACATTATGCTGAGTGAAATAAGCCAATCACAAGAGGGCAAATATTATATAACCTCACTTACATAAAAAGACAAGAAAAGGCAAATGTACAGAGATTAAAGTTTTGTTTTGTTAAGTTTTTATTGTGAGGTTTACATGGAAAAATATCAGTTTTACATTCATCCTATTGTATTTCATTTTATTGCAATGATTACAATCCCCTCATGCATCATGAAATAACCAAAGGGTATACCCCACAGGCCTGCCCCCTGGCTGTCAGCACACAGCCCCTCTCCCTCCCTGAGTTCAGTGTCCCCAGCCACTCCATCTGTCCATGTCATCATCAGAGATTAAAGTTTATTAGTGGTTCTCAGGGGTGGGGACGGGGAGAAAAAGAGGGTTAACGATGGACAAATCCTGATGATTAAAGGTATGCTTGCATGGCTGATTATTATAATTGCTGTCAATAACTCATATACCTGTAAACGTTCAGGCAAAAGTTGTGTGGTAGATATAATTACAATAACAACAACACAAATAAAACCCAGAAGCTGTTGAGGCTACGTATGTACAACTAAACAGCTTATAGCATTTAATTTCTTGGTTCGGAAACTCAGGGTCTAGGTTTCATAGGCTAGTCCAGTTAATTTGCCTAATAATGTGATTAGTGCTTCTAATCTACCTCCCAATTTGATGCGTAATGCCTGGAGACTTAAAAGCTTGTAATGAGCCATCTAAGGCACTTAGTCTCTATTCAACTGGAGTTAACAGAGGCAGTAGGAGAGTCTGGAATAGGAGGATCCGAAAGTGTGGCTAAAAACCTGCATGAACAACCGCCTCCTTTGCCATGACACCAGAAGAACTGGATGGTGCCTGGTTACCACTACTGAACATTTTGACCCAAGATTTCATAGAAGAATCCTTATCAAAAGGGGGGAAATGCAGAACACCCTTTCCAAGTCTCATGAACGCCAGATTTTTTAGAGCCATGGAGGCTAGGTGAACCCCTAAAACTATTGTCCTAAGTTTATCTTTAACTTTAAACTAAAAATATCCATTAAAGTCATCTTAAAACTGAGCAACAGTTTAGCTTAATTAGTAAAACAAGTCTGCCTTGAGCATTGTGTTCTTTTAAAAACTATATAAATGGGAGTCCTGGTGTGGTGCTGTGGGTTAGTTTGAAGCGCAAGGTTGGTGGTTCAAGTTCGCCAGCCTCTCCTCAGAAACCCAGTA